GAGCAGGTGCGGGCGGGGACGTTCTGTGCACCCCAACCTGCACGGCAGGATATAACGTAGTGCACTGGGGGCTGTAAGCAGAGTGGCGCGGGCCATGAGCACGCATGCAGCTCACAGCAGCCCAGCTGTGAAAGCAGCTGACCTGAGCGGTTCTGGGTTCTGTCCCGGTTCTGTCAGGAGCCGCAATATTTTCTTCACAAGCTGCATGCAGCTCGCGAGCCATGGGTTGGCCACCCCTGGTATAAACCTGTGTGTATAATTCTCTGTGCTTTAAGCAAATTATATCTGAATTTTTACTGGTACTGGTAATATCTGCCCAGCTGTGGGCCATTAAAGGTCCATGCCAACGCTTATGACAGTGGTGCTCAAGAGCCAATAAAGAACAGGGGCATATCGTGCTAGGCACTGTACAAACACAGTAGTGGACAGTTCCTGGCCTGGCAAATCTGAAGTCTAACTAGACAAAACGGACACATGGTGCAGGATGGGACAGAACATATGAGCAGAGTGATCAATGTGGTAACACGCAATAGATACAATGAACATGGTTATATTGTGTATTTAATTTTATCAACATTACCTGTATGTGAGAGAGAGTCATCGAAACCATAAAAACTTCTGAGGCTATTATATTGAGATGGGTCAGAGGAGAGCAGCTAGTTCAATATTCAACGACAGTTGTACCAGTGTATGTGGTCTATGTACTCATGCATTCCTAGCTCACAGGGAAAGGGGAGTTTGGGATGATTACTGCCAACTCTGAAGACTGGGCATGCAGCTATCCAGCATCGGAGGCTCTGCCCCCTACAGAGAGGGGCAGTTACTAATTTTTCCTGTTTCCACAGAGTGAGAAACGAAGACAGATTTGGGGGGGGGGAGGCATAAAAGGCTGTGTATGACCTGTCTGCGGGAGGGTCTCCTTGGGCTACACACTGACATGATCTGATAGCCATGAGGGAAACTCCTAAGCAAAGACTGGAATGACTTTGGAACAGAAATGTTAGATATTGTGTAATTGAATAGTCATATAACAGCATGAAATCTTAGTGGTTAAATGACTATTCTATAGTCCCTGCCTGTTGTATCAGGGGTAGCAGGTGGGAACTGGTCTGCCAGGGAAGCCAGTTTAAAAACCAGCTGATACAGAGGCAGCAGCCCCAGTCTGCAGAGGTCCAAGTTCCCTGTGGACAGAGGCTGATCTGCAGCAGCAGCCCCTGTACACAGGGGATCCAAGCTCCCCATGGATAGGGGCCGTTGCCATGAACCAGCCTTGTCCGCAATGGGCCTAGGCTTGCTCTGGACAGAGACTGCTTCATGGCAGCCTCCCCTGCCCTTCCCCCAACGCTGCTGCCTCTGATGGAGGCAGTGGCAGTGGTGGTGGGAGGGAGAGAGGTAGCACCAAGGAGGTGGTGCTGGGGGGTACCTCACTGTCTCTGACAATGTATGTTACTGACAAAACAAAGACAAACAGTCCTTAAGAAGTTTTAACTTTCTTTGAAAAACACAAAAGCTAATGAGTAGACGATCATAGGCATGCGAACCCCCTGTATAGTGACAAGGACTGATTAGTGGTTTTGCATAGCTATGTTTTAAATAAAATAATGGTGAAGCATAGATAAGCGAAAGCCTCGTTTTAATTATATAATGGGGGTCAGACAGTGAGTTCTCTGGACGTTAAGAGCTCAAGACCAAAGGTGCCAGGACTTTCAATCTCCGCATGACCTGCAGAAGCCAGAGCCCCAGACAAGAGCGGACCTTGACTGGCCACTGGGTGATGTCCATCTGTCTTTGTTGGGAGTGGTCAGCATAAGATACTTGGTGTGTGTATTCTGTTGACTGATGCTAATAATTACTATGTAAGGCTCTTCTTCCAGACCCATAGAACCCTCAGTCCACTAGAAGGGATCTTGGCCCTGAGTTTATAGAGGAGTAAAGTTGGGCCCCTTGTCCCCAAGTGTACATAAGGATGGATAGAGGATGGGAGCCTTAAATTATCCCTGAGTGGGAGGGAAGGGATGGGAGCTTTAAACTGTGCAGGTTAAACCCTGAGTAAATGAAGAGTAAAACCAGGTTTTTGAGAAGTGTGGAAAATGCATAACCAGGGATGAGGAAAGAGAAAAAGCTCCTCCTTAAACTGTGCAGTGGCGAGAAGAAACTAAAGACATGGGCAAAACCACAAGGCAATGAAAGAGTACATGCATGAAATCTTACCCAGCAAGGCCACAGACTCATAGTTCTCCTGCATGACAGCTCTGTACAGGGCTCTCTGAGCAGAGTCCAGCAGAGCCCACTCTTCCCTGGTGAAATACACGGCCACCTCCTCGAAGGTCACCAGCCCCTGGAAGAACAAGAGCCCCCCCAACTCAGTACCAGCTGCACCACTCATGTTCCCGGTATTCATAGGGGAACAGGACCAGGAAATTGGAAGCTCTGAAAGGGACAGGGTAACACAGCCCCACCCGCACCCCACTCAGAGCCGCAAAGAGACATCAGATTATGAGAGACCCCAATGCCTGCCAGTGGACAGCCCTCTTCAGCGGCCACGTGGAGAGCAGAGGCTGAGGCACACGGCATGGCCTGGCCGGGGTTAAAGCCAGGCCTGGCACTGCCTTGACCCCCAGAGTTAGGGTTAGGCCACGGTAGGAGGTGGGGAGGGAGAGAAACGTCCCAGGCTGGCATGACAGGGTGCAAGAGGGAGAAGGGCCTGGGATGGTGCGCCGGGGGGGAGGTTACAGGGGGGAGAGACGAGACCCAGGCTGGTGGTAGGGTTGCCAGATGTCCCATTTTGAACTAGACAGTCCAGTATTTGAAAGTTCTGTCCGGGAAAAAAATTAAGAAAACACCAGACATATAAAATGTCCGGTATTTTCTAATTAGGTTAGTTTTATTATTATTAGGAGTATCAGTACCTAGTTGCGAACTGCCTGGCTGGTAGACACGCTCATGCTGCATGGGTACGTCTAGACTACATGGCTCCGTCGACAGAGCCATGTAGATTTGTTGTTTTGGAAAAGGCAAATGAAGCTGCGATTTAAATGATCGCGGCTTCATTTAAATTTACATGGCTGCCGCGCTGAGCTGACAAATAGCTGG